TTGTGGACCACTGGCTCAAGAAAGTTTTGAATGACATAAAAGCTGGTATTTGAAGGTTGGAACAACAGTATCAGAATGAATCTCAACTCTTGTCACACAGACCTGGCCTAATGTTTAGTCATTCCAAGAAAAATAGCATTAAATGGGAAAACTTTCTTTTATATACTGAATGTAAGGCTATCTCAAGACTACACAATTAGTTCCAAAGGAAGATGTGACAGTAATATGTTTGGCTGTGACATATGGTGAATCTATGAAGGTAAAAACTTGCCTAATATTCAGTCACCTATTGCAGTCATTGTTACTGTTTACAGTTATAAAGGACTAAAAGCAGACGTAAGGCAGTGCACAGTTTCCACAGAACAAGACTAGTCCATTTTTTAAGTTATGTAAATTCTGAATGGTAGCTACAAGTGTTTATGTGAATACACAATACTTTTATACTAATTTTATAATAACTTACATTATAAATAAAACATTTTATCCAAATAATTGGAGTAATAACCTCTATGTTTTATAAAGGACTAAACTTCACAACTGTTAACTTTTAATTCTTTAATTTTAATAGTTTAACTACTAAGATTCAAAACCTTAATACTCACAAACACAGAATAAACACACAAGTTTACAATACCACTGTATATCATATAACAATCTGCATCTAGATTGTATATTATGTAGTGCCTGAAGATGACCTATAGAGGATGAAACATGTAGCTCTTAATTCACACTAAATTTGCCAATATTTTTGTGTGCATTGGTAATATAATTGTTATTTATATACTTTCACATGGTACTTCACTTTTTATTTACAATACGTTGCTATGAGATGAGCTGCTGCTATACCTGGTTGTTTGTGCCCACATCGAGAGTGATGGGCAAACACTGATGTGGCTTGATGCCCGCTAAAGCTGTGTACAGGGCTAACTTGCCCACAGGAATACCCATACCACATGCACCCAAGTCTCCTAGTCCAAGAATTCGTTCACCATCAGTCACAACAATGGCACGGACGTCTGGTTCTGGCCTAGTGGACAAAGTGCAGAAACATTGGCTTATTTTCCAAACATATTATGTTTACATGAAACAAAATCTTACATCACAAACACAATTACTCTTATATCACAGGAAACACACATCAGTTTAAGTATTAAATGCAGTTTTATGGGTTGTGATATGTCATCTTGTAGGTGGTTAACATTTAAGACGGATATGTTTTGTCTATCTTCACTTTACCTAGAACATTTAATGTAAAATATTCCTCCAAAACGTCGATAAAATCCTATAAGACCAAACAGTATCACAACCCAAAAGACCACAAATGGTATCTTGCCATGAGAGCCTCAAAATCTCAGCTCAGTTTGAAAATACTAAATTCCCAGTTACCAAGCTAATGGGGGGGAGAGAAGGAAAATAAGGAAAAAAACATAGTATTTTGAACTTACACAAATACAAACATAAACACACACACAAACATACAGTTATCACAAAATTCTCATGCTGATATTGCAACTGTAATTTTAACAATTGTTAGTACAGAATCATAAATGGAATGCACACCACAGGGAAGACAGAAATTTGGTCTTATCTCCCTCTTTAACTCGCTACATCCCCCAAAAGGTCATAGGATGTGAAAGCCATTGTAAAAGACAGAAACATGTAACAGGGAAGGCATGATGGACATTAAGCATTGTTTGCAATTACCCCACAATGCACATTTCTTTAAACATATTAATTCAATTCAAAAAGAAAGAAAATAAAAAGGAAAGCATATCAATACAAAGCCTGCACAGATAACCAGAAGAACATGAGTACTGAAGACTGAGTGACAATATTCCATAAGGTATGTTTTACATTTATTTCACATAACGCTCATACTGCTACTGTTCTATTTGTTTTCCTGCACACTAATTTTAAACATACAGCCTCTTCATTACAAAAAATTCTATTGCTGGATACAAAATATTTACATAGGATTTCTAGTCTGGATAATGAAGCCTCTATAACAACAAAATTGTACCAACATTCAAGTACCTGATGAAATGACTTAATTCAGAAAATTCTTGTTATTATTCAGTTCAGAAACTGTTATCATCTTGCCCACTTTTCAAGAAACTGAAAATTAAAATACATAATTATTGGCCCTGTTGTTAAATTGGTCTCTTTTTGAGGAAAGAACCAAAAATATTTTAAAAGAGAGTGTAAAAGAACAGACATTCAAACATAAGTTAACCTGGGAATAGGAGAAAGTAACACACTGAGAAAGTCTCAGATTCACATTCTTCATTCAGTATCACCGGGGTTATCAGTGCAGCATAATTAGGATAACAAAAAATGAATACAAAATTTTGGTGGGTAAACCTCTTGGTAGTGGGCCACCTGGAACAGCCAGTGACAGACTGAAGCAGATTAATATTAAACTCACAAAAGTGAAGATTTGGACTGGATTTTAGTTGACTCGTGGTAGGATACAATGGCAGAGATTCATGTTAACTTTCATGTTAGCAGTACTGGACCTTTGGATTTTAATAGCAGGCTGGACTACTAGTTTTTGTAAGAAGTTCTTTACAAAACATTTACAAACAACAAAATAAAAAAAACTGATCGCTAAAGCGTTTCTAATGTGGATGTTTTACTATACTTTTGTCTGACTATTCTAGTTTGAGAATCTTAAATAACCTACTTATTAATGTCCAAGTTCCCATCACTGAAATGGTAAAAGTTTTACTTTTGATTTTTAGTTTCAGCTGATATTATTTCATGTCTCTCACTTCTGCGATAAGACCAATTAAGATGCAATGAAATCAAAAACAGTTGTGCCTTATGCATACGTCAAAATAACCCACCTCATGCTAGTGATATTAGCTGCTGATATCAACACTTCTGTCTCACAAAATTATGTTCTCATATATATTTCCTCTCTGAGTAACAAAAATTGAAATGATTTTAAACTGACGTACCAATTTTTAAGGACATCATAACAATATCCTCTGTCATTAATTGTAATAAAGAGTCCTCTAGGCCTTCGGTAAATGAGCCCAAACTTCTGACACGCCAGGCCAACAGTAGGAGTATATACAATTGGCAACATCTGTTCCACATTCTCCGCAAGAAGACGGAAAAACAAGCGTTCATTACGATCCTGGAATTGAAACACATTCTTTTGATGTCTTTCATTTGTACTAAATATGAAAACTGATACTTCTATGGAGGATAAAATTTTGTTTCTACTTTATAAAATCTTGAACATTATAAAAATGTCAACAAGTGTCACTGAGAGTTTCAGAATGCTGGGTCATTATTATATAAATATCTAGAAACCTCTAGCACCAAAAAATGCCATTATAACCACCATGACCAAGGTAGCCTCAGGATTCTCCACCCAGTCACTGAAGCATGCAAAATACATGTAGGTCTCATGTAAAGTGTCCATTATTGTTGCTTAATGCTAACAACAACCAGAATGTGTTAAACAAAATTAGTATCCACCACAACATCAAATTTACTGAAAATAGTAAAGCTAATATGTGCATTTTTCCAACTATTAGTCAGAAATGCACTAAAATTAAATAAACGTGAGGGTAGTTTCTTTAAGTCAAAGCATGTAGTTTGATCATTTAATTTTATTCTTTTATTTTAACTATGAAACTATGATAAAGTCAAATTAACAAATCTACCATTTTATGTTAGACATATTTAAATATGTTTTCAGTTCTTCTTCAACATTTATTCCAGTATTTCTTTTTTCACCTGAAAATACAAGCATCTTAAGGATCTTTCTAACCCACCATGAATTTAAAAATATAAAATCAGATTAAACTTCAAGTTTCTAGCTCAAACAGTTCAACCTGAATGTCCTGTATAAAAAAGGTAACACCCACCACTAGCAACATATTCAAACATACTGAGTGTTCCTTTCTCCTCCCACCAAAAAACCTGATTTCTGTATCCCAGAAACAATAAATATAAAACATGACATCATAAATTACAAGAACTACTGTATGAAAACACACCAACCTGGGTTTACATCTCAGATATAAATATATATGGTGGGAAAGTGAAAAAAGAGTATTCACTTTCTTGTATTTAATATTTAAAAAATAGGCACTTCATAATACAAAACAAATTCTCTCTGTGGAAAAAACCAAAATGTATAAACATATGTAAAATTCTTAACAACTACACAGCAAAATCATTCAAACTAACGTTCTGTTAACACTCCAGAACAAAACAGCATTATGAATCTTGGTCCTCATAAAACACACAACCAATAAAAAAACAAGTATTTGCATAAATGCCAATCAGCTTCACCATGTCTGTACATGCATTTTTATAAAATGAAGTATTAAAAGTCACAACTAAAATGTTACCAAACACCAGTTCTTTACATGAAGGCCTAAATGCACTTCAAAACATACTGACCAGATCAAAACCTATTTGAGACAAAAGTTACAGGTTTCAGAAACAAATATTTATGTTGTCTTCATTTCCTTAGCCCAACATTCTCACTTTCATACTAATTAACTTAAATTTTAATCAGTTGCATTAAAAATGTTTTTGAACCATTCTGGTGGATGATGAGTTTCAAATGTACTAAACAAATAACAAAAATTATTTGTAAGCCTTTTCATGACTGTGAGTGTATAAAATGTCTAATTTTACAGTCTAGTAACTTCATTTAAAGATGTAACAGAGTTTAAATGGTCTAGAAGAATTGGATTTGAATTCACAGATACATAAAAAAATTTAATTACAAAATCTGTAGTCTAGTTCACAAATATTCTGGCAGTAACATGATGAAAAACAAACTGCTCTATGAGAAATCAGATATGATGTTCTCATCATGGTACGCCAACTGCTCTTTTAGAACTAATGTAATTCAGGCCAATAAAAAGACTGTGCCTCATTACTATGAAAACAGACTTATTTATGTAATGGGAGTCTTAAGTGATGGTACAGAATACAAAATGTCTTAGTTAACATTCCCAAATGTGAATTACCTGTAACTCTACAAGATACAGATATTTGTTTAAGTCTTCCTGGTACCTCTCCACACTTGTTTTACACAGTTCCAGCTGCTCTTCCTGTGTTTTGAATCTTGCTGGCATCAAACCATGGATACCCAGTTGTTGTCTCTCCTGCAGTGTAAATGCAAGACCCTGGAAAGCAACACATGTTTTCAGTCCAACAATTTCAACAGAGCTGCTTATATAAATAAAACCAATGTAATGCTCTATAAAATAATTGTTGAAAATATGGTATATAATTTCAGACACAAATTGTAAATCTTTATGATAAGACCCACATATGTGTTCCATGAAATCTTGAAATTCTCTTAGGATAGATATCAGTACAAATACCAACAATACCAAAAAGTAATTCTACAAAACTACAAAAGTGTGGAGGAAAAAAAAGTTATCTTAAATTTTTATATTATCTAACATGATTGGCATTCTATAACTCTGGCGTATGTTCCTTCACAGAAGGCTTTTTACCACAAAAACCCTTTTAAAGTAGCTGTGCAGTAGGATTAATGTAATTTGACATAACTTCTGATTCTACAATGAAGCAACTATTCACTGACTTTCCTTAGTTATTAATTCCTGAGGCAATTTGATTCAAGAACATTCAGTCAAAAGGTATAAGGAATAAAGGCAAAAGTAACACATTTAAGAATTTGCAAATTTTGTTGTATTAAATATAACATTTAATGTAAAATGAAGTTTGATATGTGTTAACTCCCAGAAAACATTTCTTGTACGACACATATGTTGCTACTGTACTTAAATTTATGGTCACAATGATACAATAAGAACAAAACAACATTCTGATACCAGAAATTTATAAAAACAACATACAAAACATAATTTTGTTCATAATACCCACAGTATACAACGAAACTCTTAAAATGCTTGCTGCAATTATCCAACTAGTATGAAGTGCATAAAACAACTTAATACAAGGTTTCACACTGGCAATTGAGTTAAGTGCTGACCAATTTAAAAATGTAATCCCACATTACTGGAAAAAATAAATGGTACTACACTAGTTATTAAAACAAAATTAACCTAACCTTATTCAATCTTGGATCTCTGAGGTGATCAATACCTTGCACCATGGAAGGGCAGATTATATCCCCTGTTACCTCATGGTATGTTCTTTTCTGAGGAATAGAGAGTAGCTTATGGAGAGCTCCAAGGGCTGTCTGTCTACTGCTGCAACAAAACAATCCATTGCAACAGTCTCTGAAAAGCAGGATGATTTCAAAACAAAACCTATAATGTACTAACACAGCTGGTTCCATGAGAAGATTTCAATGCATTTAGTTGTCACTATTATGTCTATACTTCTTTAATTCTATTTGGAATAAGGAAGAATTGCCTCAGCAGTGGAAGGAGTCTATTATTGTACCAATTAACAAGAAGGGTGATAAAACTGACTGTCAACTACTGATCAGCTGATTTGCATTTGTCAGGTACTAAAGAAAAAATGTGAGTGAAATGAGACAGTACATCAGCTATTCATAGATTTCAAGAAAGCATATGATTCAGTTAGAAGGAAAGTATTGTACAATATTCTCATTGTGTTTGGTATACCCACAAAACTAGTTATGCTAATTAAAATGTGTTTAAACAAAACCTATGGTAAAGTCCATATATGTAAACATTTGTCTGACATGTCTCCTATTCAAAATGGTCTAAAACAAGAAGATGTTATATCGGTATTGCTTTTCAACTTTGCATTAGAATATGAAATTAGGGTGGTCCAAGAAAACGAGGTTGGAATGAAATTGAATGTGATACATCTGCTTCTGGTCTATTTCAATAATGGAAATCTATTGGGGATACCATAAATACCAAAAATAAAAACACAGCTCTAATTGTTCCCTATTTAAGCCAGAGTACAATTAAGTGTATGAGCAAAACAATGTCCTTGAAACCTAATATAATATTAACAGTATGCAAGTTCATCACTAAAAGTATTTTTGGATATGGGCGTTCCTGTTTGCATTTCAACAGACAAAATTGAAATAAAAATATTGGCAACAACCCAGGTTCTTACACAATTGATCAGATGAAGTTTCTAAAACTATTTCTGAAACGATCTACATAGAAAGTTATCAATGATTAGCATTACATACGAAAAGTATGTAACTATTATATGTCCATTCTTTAAATACAGTACTTTGAACTTACAGAAATCCTCTTGGGAGCAGCGAAATCATTTCGCTGTACTATCCCACCACAAACACAAACACACAAACAGCTGTTCCACAAGCACCGCCTACTAGAGGGTTCTTCTGCCGGTTCTGCTTTGGCTTGAATGCGTTGATGAAATATTTCCCACTTTCCTTGAACGTTGGACTACCTGTAATGGACTATATATTTATCGGTTGTTACGTTGACACCAAGAAAATATCCTCGGAAGATACACGGACACTAAGAAAATATCCTACGTGAACATTCTCGTTTGGCTATTATCAATCGCCGGTTTCTGCTACTAGGGGACACAAATATCACTCCGTAGTACCAATTTTGTATTTCGATACGCATATCGATAACTGTATTAGCATACTGGTAACATTATGATACATTTTGTTTTTTCTTCACAGAAGCTGAAGAGATTTTATTTGTATTTGTATTTGTGTTGTATTAGGCTAGCACCCTAAACACTAGACGAGCATACTCATACAACACACGTTGCCTGACATTAATGAACCATTCATTGAAAGGGAAGTGAAGCCCATGATCCAATGTACAATTTAATTTATTTCTGAAGTTATTCTTCTCCTCTATTGTAAACAATGAAGCATCTTCAAGACATGATTAGGTATTATATAAGATTCCAGTCAATGTGCTTGTCAGTAATTTCTACTGACTTGATACACTCCTGGCAGAAATATATAGTAGTGCAATTCTTAGCACTCTATGGCCAGCATGTGAAAGGTCATTCATTTTAGAATGAGAACAATAATGGAAGGATTTCTAATTAACTATTTTACTCAAACAGGAAATTGACATTAAGAAGCAGTTCTTGGTGACAGATATTCATGGTTAATACTGGTATTTATGCTTGTTATATATATGAAAACATTATCTTGGCATGTGATAGCAAAGAAAACACATTGATATAAGTTTTTGTAATAACAAATGTCGAATTTAATGGACCATATACAGTAACTTCATTCATTGCATGTTATGGCTATTGTTTAACCTAGGTGTATGAAGTCATTAATATCAGTAGTGAATATTTTATTAAATTGGGAGCAATAACCAGAGAGTTTAGTTTAAATAATTAATAAAATAAATAATACAAAGAATGTATTATGTGTCTTATTCCTGTGGCCTGTTCAACATCAAGAATAAGCTATTGCTCATATGGAAGAGTACTGTAATATATAGCAGGCAATTCAAGTTACACAGATACTTTACAGATAACTTAACTGCAAGACCAATGTGAAATCCATATTTTGAAACAGGCCTCTGTTATCATCAGTCTGCGGTACCAGATTTAGTTACATGCAGAAATATAAATATGTAACTTACCTGTGCAATTCATTGTGGATATTATCCCTTTGACACAATTTGGAGATCTAGAATGCCTGTAGCTTAAACAGTTTCACTCACAATTCAGCTTTCAATTAATAATGTACTCAAGATACAGATGGTGGTCTTCTAGGTTGTTGCTCTTTATAGTATTTTGGCTATATACCAGTGGTTCAGAGGAACATACTGCCTCCGTATTCAAGGCTGATGTATGGAAATTGATTGTTTATATGAGGCTAAGAGAAGGACCAGGCCAGGGGGATTGGCATTCAACTACAACGTACAACAATTCAGAAAACTACCATCTACAGAATGACCACAAAGTCTCTTTGTAGTGACATTACAGCATATCTGTATGTTGTCTTCCTATCTCTATACATTGTCAAATCTGTTTCCATGTTCTTTCAGACATTTTCTTCCATGTTCAAGGCTGAATGTTGTTCTGATACTGCAAGAAACTCAAATTATCAACAGAACACTTACTGTTTATTGCAGAAGGGAAACTTATACAGACATTCTTGTTCTTTATGCACTGTATGTACAAAGCTGCTGTCATGTAAATAAAGACAAATACTTTTCAATCAGTTACTAAAACTCTCCTTATTTTAATAAGGAGCAACATAATATTCAGGATAGATAATATGAATAAATACTCAATGTGGGGTTTATAACTGTTTTATTATCTGAGATTTTTTTTAAAAACATGTCATAGTTATTTTTATATGACCAAGTTTGATTCATGATGCATCATGACGTGCTGAGCTGGCTGTCAGGACAGAGTGTTTCATGATTTATTTGTGGGAAATGTACATTAAGAAAATAGAACTATAGCCATTTGCATAATCATTCATTCTACATGTTGATGATTGCACTTGGACACAATATCAAACACAGTGTAACAGATTACCTACTGCTCGAATGAAGTTGCATATTATACTTATGCACTTGATCCATAATAAAAATTGTAACAAATAATTGTGCAATTGGTTGTTACCAAGTGTTTTCTTTGACGAGCATCTGCTACTCTACAAAAATTATCTAGTAGAGTTCTACTATTAATTTTGAAGTGACTAAATAATAAAAACAAAGCCACAGCTACCTATCAAGATTTTCATTTGTTGATTTTCCTAAACAGGCCCATAACCAAAATCAAATTATCATGGACTGACAATTTCATGAAACAGCTCCTGCCAAGTCCATTTATATTAATCTTCCAAACATGAAATAAGTCACCAAATCTTTGAAAATTTAGCCTCTCTCACATTTTCTCTTTGTAAATTTTTTTCTGAATACAACAAAAAACTCAGAATGAACCCTATAGAAATTATTATTCCAGTCTTTCTCAATGAGATATCTATAACATATAAGCCTTTCTGAATGATTTGTAATGGGAAATCCTGTCCATAGCTCCATCACCAATCTGATTTAAAGTACTGTATTTTTTTCACAGCAGTAACTGAGATTTAAAATTACGTTTATTGCCAGATTACATCTTAAATAATGAGTTGCAGAAATTAGAGAAGTATTTAACTCCCAATATATAATTTTTTGTAGAGTAAATTAGTGTATTATTATTATTATAATTATGCTATATACAAATTCTTTTGTGAATGAGTGTAGGTGTTTTATGTGCATATGTTTGTGTAGAGATGTATGTACAAAGATGCAAACAATACTGCCACTCTATTTTCATATCAATTCTTCTTATGTAAACAAAGAACATTATTTTATTACTCTAGTGTCCACGGATGTATCCTTATTAAAATCTGATTGTCCTGTGTTCTATTCCCAGAGTTCCTGTTCACCAATGATTATGGTAGTAATAATATCGAAGAAAACACACTGATGCTCCCAATGAAGATGCACATGCTTCACCAATGAATTCCTAGTTATCCCAACTCCTGACTAAGAACTTCCTATCAACCTCTGGCTATAAACAACAGCAGGGCAGTACACAGCAGAAGAGTCAGTAAGAAGTGTCCTGTCTCACCATCTGTAATAGTAAAGACAGACTGATGTTAGAGATTATAAGGCTGAAAGCTCCGTTAGAAAAATTCATTTTCTTAAATAAATTTCTCTGTTCTCAAAGACATCAATTTAAAACAGCATGTGATATAACTAGCAATAAATGATTGGCAGACTATACAATACCGTTTGGTTATCAATTATTTATTATGTTTGGCTATAAAATTGTTACCCTCTCAGTGTAGGCACAGACTATAATCAAACCCAGGATTTCAGAAAACTTCAGCTACTTAGCGATGTATTACCTGCAGAGAGGTTACTTTACATTGTAGGATTTGAGGTTTTCACAGCAGTGAGTATGAAGATTTCTGTCTTCTGGGTTGCGCAACAACCCAGAAGACAGAAATCTTCTCACTTTACATTGTTTGATATGTAAAGATGGTTATGAAACACCTTAGTCTGGATAGCACAGACTTAACCGGTGACATCATGAGTAATGAAATAGAAATACTGTTCACAATAATATGGCACTCAGTACATGGTGGGAAGGATGTAGAAGTGAGTATGGCCTATTTCACGTGCTGAAAATGGCTGCCATCTGGGTTGTTGCACTTTGTAATGTATTAGTTTGTCAACATTTCAGGCATGCTTATTACCTTCATCATCAGGGCAATGATTGCCCTAATGAAAGTAGCAGCAAACACCAGTAAACTTCTATCAGACTACTTGACGCAACTGTCCAGAAGATAGCCATCTTCATACTTGCAGATACGAGAACTTCAAATCTCACTTACTTCAAGTGCTATCTTGTCATTTACTTGGAGGGACATGGGAAAGTCAGCTGCTCTGTCGTCCTAGATCTGAACCATACATTTCCCAAAAACAAGTCAAGTATGCTACCAGAGCTATTCGGTTATGTTACTGATGAAGATATATGCTGCTGATAAAGATAATAATGAAATGAAAAATAAATAAGCACATCCGTATGAACGTGCCTTAATCAGGATAACTGGAGTTATGACGGTCCCTGATCCTCACATTCTTTCAAACTGGAAGTCAATCACTGTTTTTAGAAAATGTACTTATAACTTCTGACATTTACCTATTTTAGGGGCAACATTTTTCTGGACAGGCTTGGGCGTGTATGAATCAACTTCATCCAGAAACTGGTATGTAGCATTGAAGCCTGTTCCATCAAGTCGATCATTGGAGCGAAAAGTTACCCTAAAGAATTTACGGTCTGACTCCATGTCAAACTCTTTGAGCTGACCACACTTCCGAGAGTACTTGCGATCATCTGCCATGAAGTTGGAAAATTCAACATAGTCACTAGCTGAGATAGCTTCACACCTAGAAACATGTAACAGCATTACACTCTTGACAGGAAAAGTAGATCTTACACTTTCCTGTAAAACAGCATTTCATTCATGCACAACCTACTGTCCAAGAATTTTTTTCCAAAGTGAAGTCATCAGATAAAATCAGTTTCAAGAGCGTACATATTGAAATTATTAGAAAAGCTGTATATAATTTATTAACCAGGTCAAAATAACAACAAGAAATAATATTAAAAAGTACTAACAACAGTAAAAGCAGCAAATGTAATTATACTGATGATAATATTATGATATGCACTGCACCTGTAATATTTATGACAATGATAACAGTGACAGTAATGATGAATATGAGGAGGAAACTGACAACAGAGATAGCAGCAGTAATAAGCATCAAAAGATTATGACAAAATGATGATAATGAAATGATCATATAGCTCAATATAAAGACTTTACATCAGAAAAATATATAAACTGATAATGATACTGTAACAAGAACAGCAAATACCAAGAATTAATGAATGTTTTATCTCTGACCCAGTACTTGGCTCATCTCAGATTAAAGGCAGTTTAGTTTAAAACAGTATCAGCCTTACGACTAATAAACACACAAGTCTTTTCATTAAAATAAAGATTTTGAATTTTATAATATACATTCTTTGCACTCTACTTGGACACACCAAATTATCTACTTTTCAAACTTAAATTAAAACAATTATCAAATATTTCCCTCTATGTTTAAAATTAATGCCAAAATCACAAACATCTGAGGATGAAGCTGCTAAGTGGGTACAAAATAGTTAATAAATTAGAACACATCATCTTCCGAAAGAGAAATCTCGTTACTCACGGTAAGACTCCTTCTACATCGAAGTAACTGAAGTGTAGGTGAACTTTCTCAGTTTTAGTGCCATGAAAGAAGTAATGGCACTCGGTGTCACGAGGATAGAATCCGGGAAAGTTGGGGCTTGCAAATGTGCCATTGCGGGTTTCACTGCTATTGAACACAAATGCACACGGAAATTCTGGGGACTGGCGACCTGAAGTTATTCCAAAATCTGCAACACCACCATTGTTATCCTGCATCATTGCTAAATCAGAGTAGCAAAGGCATAGTTCATTATTCATATTAAATATACAAAATACAAGAATCGACAGTTATATAAATACAGAATCATAAGAATAGAAAATAACACAAATATTGTGTCTCAATATTAAAAAAATACCAATTACTTTCTTTTAAAAATATGAAAGCACAAGTATGTCCTCTAAAGCACTCTCCTTTAAACACTGTCAATCAGCTGTATAAGAATGATAAACAGTATTGTGGACTCCAGCTCCACCTCCGTCCGAGGTAAGAGGATGAGATACCTGTGTTTGTTAACCATTAAGTAAAAGCTGTTTCTTACCACGGAACAAAATCTTTGTTCTCGCATCACATTGTGATGTACTCACTTTCTGTAAAACTGTACGTGGCTTTAAAACCTCTGGAATGTCTTGAAGAATATATCCCTCTGAATTCCAAAATCAGTTTTGGGCCATTTGACATAAGGGGCTTAGGCACAGAGCTGCCACAGAAGTTATCAATTTTTTCCATTCGACCATCAATATGCACATATGCCACCAAGGAGTCGATACTTTCACACCTGTCAACATATGAACACACATTAAAAAGAAAACCTTTATTTCCCATGTCATTCATAGCTGTAGAAAATATGGATTTCAAAACCTAATAATCTATTGGATGGTACTCGTAGACTTTGACTTTCGATGGGTAAGACGATACAGTATCGTGCTTTACTGGCTATTAAAGAATACGAAACTCAATATACATCTTTACTGCACACTTCAGATGAGTAAACAGCCACTTACTGGATTAAAATGACCAATTTTTTATTTATGCAACGTAATATCTATAACGCTACTTTTGCAAGAAGAGAATTGCATCTGCGATAAATGGCCATCACTGAGACATGAAAAACAGCGTTCTAAATTGAAGTAAATTTTCTGTATCTTAAAGTTATGTATAATTATTAGACTTTTCCTTCACCTGTTGGTTTAAAAAGTAAGCTTTGGATCCTACTGATTAAATTGTATAGTTTTATGTAATGATTGAAGCAAAGCCAGGTTCCAAAACATTGTTTTCTTACTGATATACAAACAAAAGTTTCATCAAATACATTTAGACAAATTTTCCAATTCTTGTTTAAAATTGGCTTCAGTGAATTACTGCATTGTTTTTTCCTATTTGCTACTCACATCGTCCTACCATTTCTACATGATTCTACATAACCTTTAAAGTTGATATGACAACATAAATAATTGAATAAACAAAAAATAACGACAACAATCTTAAAGAACTTCGGTGTGTCACAAATGTGCACATTCTGTTCAAGCACATTTACTTAATTTTGTAAAGACATCAGTAAATTTGTATGGGTTATATTCTTAATGCATTTTGTGTTAATTTGATACAATTTCATCATTCCAACAGCAGGGAATTCTATTACTTACTCCTTCGAGTTATCTGAGGGATGGTAGAGGTTGAAGTCACTGAAAACGATTTGAACCCGTTCTTTTCCACGACCCTGGAAGTCATATCGGCAGTAGCTGCGAGATGGATATGGACTGGGGAAGAGAGGCGACGATACGGATCCATTCTTTGTAATGTCACTGTTCAGCACTACATCACAACTAGACGCTGAAAAACAAAACATGGTTTCAAGCCTTAGACGTCTATAACAACAATGAATTTGAAAAAAGCACAGCACTTTGAGAAGATTCTTCATTTTTTTTAGCTCGTTACTTTTCACACACTCAGTTCACCCCCATTCACTAGAACAACATATTTCAGTCAACTGTGGCCATCATCATGTTTATCTCTCGTTTTTCCTCCTCCAGATGTGAGGAAACAACAGAAAAGTCAAAACTTTTTAGATTAGTTAAAATGGTAAGAAGTTAAAAATACCAAAACATGTCAAAAAAATTTTTTTGCACAGCTTGCTAATTCCAGGTGTGTTTTTGATCTGGGTTATATATGTTGTGGAGCGTCGTTGTATGATGAAAGACTACGATTTACCGGAATGCTACACTGTTAACACTTGAGCAGGTCTACCTCGGATTTGATATTAGTGACGATGTGCAAAGAAACGTATCCTTCTGCCTATGCAGCAATCACTGAAGTCGTACAGGATGCACAGAGATTAAGCTTCCTTCCCATTCTTATACTGAATAAGGTCTTATAAATGTACGCACTGAAGGAGTGATTGAGATTCGAATCGGGCTGTAGTACCATGGAAAAGGAACAAGAAGAAGTGAAAGTCGGTAGTGCCGAGGGCTGATTTTTAATAAAACACTTGTAGGCCTGGTATCCTCAACATTCAATTCTTAAATTAAAGTTATGTTTTTCATCGGAATTTTAAGTTTAGCAGAAGTCATTCATCATACGTCCTCGTTAACAGCTTTGTTTGGAATTGGAGGGCAATATTTATTGTGTAGAAAATGTTAAAACTGCCTTATAAACCTCTAAGACTGATTTTTTATTCGAGCATAAAATCAATGTAATTGTCTTTGGAAGCAGAAAGCGAAATGTAGTTATAAAGTTTTCACAAAATTTACCAATTTTATACTTCGCCGTGCGCTCGTTACGCTATTTCATTTTTACTGCTTGTAACTCTTTTTACACTGCTGGGCGAGAAAGCTCACTCACAAGCAATTCCGAAGGAGATTCGATTTTGTGTTTGCTTTCAGCGATACACAGTCATTTTTCAGCACTGTGTATCAGTATTCTATTTGACGGTCTCACATGACAAGCCGTCGTTCACATGCACGCTGCAGGTTGGAAATAAAGTACGGGTTGCTGGAATGAAATATGCTTAGGGGGAACGAATGTGGAAAAATATTCCAAAAGGATTGAATAAAGGATAGGATTAAAATGGAAATAAAAGGCATAGAATTTGCCAGAATATACGACTGAAAAGTAGTCAGAATTTTATGTCGAATGCGAACCAGAATATTCTCTACGAAGAAACATTTATTTCGTCGCTTAGAAACTACATCAGTTACCAATCTGTGTACTTAAATCATTGCAAGTAGACTCTGAAATATTCCAACAGGTAAAATAGTTTTTGGGAAAAAGATTTCAAATTCGTTATCATAATAATCTTCTTCGACAGCAGCACTGCTACCGCCAAATCCCTCTTTAAATGCTTACTAAGATTAAGATTTTCTCCTCTTTGTATTACTCAAAACTGTTCTGGCCAATTTCGCCAGAATAAATTCAGTCCAAGCCGAATACACACGAACAGACAAACATACTTACATGCTAAGCATGCACCTAGAAATACTTCAGTTTTGTAGAACGTAAGCTATTTGTACACGATATTTGACAAAGTCTGGTAACGTAAAGCGTGCTTGTATTGGGTATTTCAAGTTTGCATCTCTACCGCTTCTTCTATATTTCATGAAGGCACAGAAGTGTTGAATGATCTCTCGTTAGTAGCGGAATGGAGACATCGTGTCAATAACGGGTGTTTTCTTTTCCACTTTGCGTCAACCATTTCAGTTGAAGTCGTACATCATTGGGAAGTAGAAACTCTGAGACAGTTCCATCTTCAGCGAGACAGCAGAGTCGTTTAACATTGTATACAAGTCTTTTAAGACACATTCTAAAGAGCCTTTGTTTTCTGCCAAAATCCTCGTTTTGTTTGTACTCTAAATTTTAATGCTTCTTACAAACCCAACCAGTGTCTTTAAGAGGATATAGAATGGCGTATTTTTTTTAAATACGACTGAATGTTTAGAAAGATAATGTCAGAAAATTCCACAAACATACAAGAAAATACAACAAAATCTTATAGATTTTTATTCTGAAGGTTTCCGGTTTGAATCTCTATGGGGCTATCAGTTATCATAACTGATATTTTATGTGCTCTTTCACAGCTTCTTCAAACGAATTTCGGGACAGTAATTTTAAATAGGCCACCAACATCTCCTTCCAAATTCTTACCTACTCACCATTCATCATCATATTTTCATCTCATTCGACGCAATTAAAGACAAGTCATAAATTACATAGTAATCAATCGTTTACCTTGACGCTCACACTTTATGTATTCTTAGAATTAGAAAGGAATGTCGCCCTTTCTTCGGATCCCATCACAGAGCTGTGTCCTGTGTCCTCCTATCTATCCTCAACTTTTTAGAGTTACTGACATCAATCTGTCTTCTTCTGTACAGTTGGTTGGTGGTCGTTTTTTATAATTACTATTAGACTGCAGGCAATATTAAAGCATAAGCGTATCCCTTCAACATGAGATTTATTAATTAACTGTTTATCTGCGTATCTTCTGATTAACCCTCTTTTCACACAGATCCCTCTGATCCACTTAATTTGGCAACATTATGTTATTATTGTGGAACACAGTGAACAAGCAATAAACAAAACGCTCCTAGCTATATCCAAACTTAGGACACATTTTACACTACACAATTTTATCATAATCATCTCCTAAACATTTTAAACGTTGACATAAACGTCTTTCCGAAACTGGACCACGAGCTCTGTTAAGCTGTGGCACTTTGTGAGCGATATGAGGGTAGCCTAGCGTCACTTTGGGCTGATATTGTTTGTGGTTTGGTAGTTACGAGCCTTCAAAGACGCTAGCTAATGTTGTCACTTTCACACACACACCCCGGGTCCTCATATCAGAAGGAGGCCATAAACGTAGGTGAATCAAGACTGACAGCTTCTTTACGTCAGCAGGACTTCAGAGTAGGAAGCCGTTTGAGTACACAACAGAGTCAGCTGACAGGTATATATATATACAAAAACGATCGGAATTGTGGATTTCAACACAAATCAGAAATCGCGGAATTGTTAAGTCCAATATAAGTCTAAATAATATCATAAATATTTTGCTGGTGCCACCAGAATAATGTGGTGTAAGTCCTAGAAGCTATCATACTTCTGTTGTAATTTTTGAACACAAACCCTTTCCTTGACAATGGCGGATTATTTTCAACAATTCAAGTCCCTCTTGTTCAGGGCTGAAGTGATAACCCTGAAGATGGAGGCAGTATGTTCCCCCGAACCGTTAGCATACAGAATAAAGATTACGCCACGCAAAAAGACCAGAAGACCCTAATTTTACTCACACTGTCGTAGAAACCTCAAATCGTACTGGATGAACTTACTTCAGCAAACAAGATTAATGTTTTTGAAGGTTGTCATAGTGATCGAAGACATGTAGACAGATTGTACAATCGAATCCTTGGATGTCACATCCAGTTTGTTTCGCGTTCTAAGCTACTACAAGCCGGAAGATTTCCGAGGTTGCGCAGTGTGTCATGTGGGAACATCTGTAGATCCGTTCATAGAACTTCAAGTGTCATGTCTTCGGCGTACATTTCTGGTTCGGGGAGTTGGAAATACACGACTAAGACCTAGTCAATTACTGATATATTTTATAAAATGATTGTATACGTTATACGAAGTCACTTATTTCCAGTGTCTTGGGTTTGGATC